CTGCAAAATGCAGCAAGCTACACAGTCAACTAAAAGGCTCTCTGCCTGACTGTAGGTTTGCATGCAACCTTGTCTCTCACCTGGAGCTGTCCCCATGAAAACTGGAGAATTTGAAGACCCCGTTGGATGCTCAGTGATACCCTGAGATCTGGCAACACAGTGCTACACACATGGTACACTATCCTCAGCCAAAATCAAGAAATTCTTGACTGTTTGTTTCCACAATATTACAGAAAGAAGATTATTGCTTAGTACACTAGACCCCCACCACTGGAGCAGCCAATTCTTCCTAATAACAGAAAGGAGATTATCAGACGGGGGAGGAGGAGGGAACCTGGGAATAAATGGCATACTCCTGGCAAAGTCATGTGATTGCGCTGAAAGCTTTCAGAAACATCGCACTTATCCAGGATATAACCCATGAAGATCCAGAAATGCTCCAGCAACAAACCATTCACTGGGAGGTCCTGCAAATTGTTTGTTGCTTGTGCTTTCCTGGATCTTCATGGGTTAAGTCCTGGATAAGTGCAATGTCGTCTGAAAATCTTCAGCACAATGGCGTGACTTTGCTGGTAATGTGTCTTTTTCCCAATTTCCCCCATCTGATAATCTTATAAGAGAGCAAGTTATGGCTTTTCAACAATGAAATAGTCTTTGAAGGGGTACATGCAAGTGGGGAACTTTAAGCATCAGTGCAAAATGGTGGACCTCGTGTGGGTCAAAATGGAAAGATATAGAGTGAGCATAAAGAGAAATGAGAAAATAAAAGTATGTGTAGATTTACCTTGTTTTAGAGAGGGGTTGGAGGCCATATTAACTGTGCAAGAGCTTGGAGACTTCACCCCACCATCACCCTAATTTTTAAAATTTTCCTTTTATAATCAATACATTGTTTACAAATGCTCTGGCATTCAGTATGGGATATGGGTTGAATTTTTGCCATGTTTTTGCTCTTCCCACCTTTTTTTCCCCTGAAGCCAAAAACATGACAAAAATATTTCACACATGCCCTGGGCTATAACATGGCAATGACTTGAGGTGAACTCAAGGTAAAGCTGAACAACACATATGCCCAGTGTGTCCCTGAAGAATTCTTTAGACTCCTGGCAGCAACCCAGCCTTCTAAGAGACTGACACACAGAGAGAGCATTGGGTAGGAAGTATTCAAAACACAAGTGTCTATTTTGTAGAGATAAGGCACCTGTGAACTGTCTGGAGTTGAGGACACTTTAGGATTGGAAGACATTTAGCATTGACATATGTATACCACTTCATACTGAACTGAGCACACTCTAAGCAGTTTACAACCTGTAAGCCAATTGCCCCCAACAAGCTGAGTACTCATTTTACTGACCTATGAAAGGATGGAAGGCTGAGTTAACCCTGGAGCCCCCAGGATCAAACTCACAACGTTGTGGCTGCAGTACTGGCATTTAAGCACTGCACCACCAGGGCTCTTGGTACAAAAAAGAAAAGAGTCTTCTTTTCCACTTCCATTTTCCCCTTAGTAATCCTATCCAGCAGTTTAGGAATACAGGAAATGACTTACACTGTAGTAAGGCTGTTTCTCCATCCAGCTCAGTATTGTTTTCACAGATCACCAACAGCTTGCTAAGGTTTCAGACACAGGAATCCAACCTGGAGATGGCAGGAAGGCATTGAACCCAAAACCATTTCTAAGCAAAGCACATGCTGAAGTATAGTCTGTCTGATGAGTAGTGGAGTAATCCATTTGAGATTCTTGATTCTGGTTGTGTGAACCACTCTGTTTGTTTGCTCAGTTGATCCATCCCAAATGAATAAAATGCCATAGTCTTCATGAAAATGATTGTACTGTGATTTGGGACATGATGAAAGTTCAGAATAACCAATCTTGTGGGAGCGAGGCATGGAACCAAGAGCAAACATAAAATCCAGGAAGATGGTGCCTAGGAGGATGTGATTCTGTCCAGTGAAAATAATACGCTCTTATCAACAAGTAGCACATGTTATAACCAAAGTATTCTGTGCATCTGTGGAGTAGACTGTGGATAGATAGATAGATAGATAGATAGATAGATAGATAGATAGATAGATAGATGATAGTGCAATTTTATTTTATTTTTTTTGCAAAGCTCTTATCCATTGCAATATCTACAAATCCATATCAGTGAGTTGAAATATCTATCATGTGATTATAGCAGCAGATGAAAAAACATATGTGTAGATAACAAAAATTTATTAGATCAATGCTAAGAATTGTCTTGCATATTCTAAATGTCTCTAATACTATCAGTGTTAGCATGCTGTACTATTGTTGATTACTATTATTATTCTAATGCATATACAAGATCCATCAGTCGTGTTAAGTTTCATCTGCAAATTTCTCCAAGCCCCAGGAAGGTGTGTTTTTGCTATTATTAGCCTTTGTGTTCTAGGTGGTGGTGACCGAGATCCAGTGAGTCACAAAGCCAGAAATAGCATCACCTTCTTCTGGTGCTCAACTCTGTCCTGAACTTACTAAACTAAAGTAATACAATTAAAATTGCTATGAAACATCTAGACCTCAGGTTGGTCAGGGGCAAAGGTGATCTTCAGCGTTTCACCTGCCAATCTTTTACTGAAAAGTATGTTGCTTGGTGCCTAATAAATCCCTTGACAGATTATTCTATCTTGAAGCTTAGAAGAAAGCAGATGAATTTTCTGATATACTAACACCATTTGTGGGCATCATTGTGTTGGAGAGTATATATAAAATGTATTATGCTATGGCAGCTTCCTCCAAATTGGTGCCCTTGAGGTGTGTGGGACTACAACCCTCATGGTCCCTAGCCAGCACAGCCATGGAAAACGTAGTCCCAGGGACAAATGTCAAAGTCAATTGATTGGGGAATCTATATTGTATAATCAAATATATACTTCAAAGAGTAATCAAAGAAGCAGCCTTTTCCCTACAAAATGGACTCTTGTATGCCCTTTGCAAAGTTCCTGCTTTAACAGATTTTCTAAAAACTCTTAACAAGAAAAAAAAACCAGGAAAGGAAAGCAATCAAAATTGGAGAAAAGGCATTGCTAGACATCATGGATAAAGAAGGAAAGGCAAAAAGGAGAGGGGGGATTTCAGGGACATTTTCCCAGCTTTTGAAAATTAACTTTTGTCTGTAGAAATAATTACTAAAATTGAGAGGGCCTGACTAACTATAACATTAGGCATACTCAGCACCGACCCTTTTATTGGTTTGGGAAAGTTGTCACACAATAAACAGTAAATGGCAACCTCTCCTCCTTTTCTTTTAATATTCCAGAGTAAACTGAGAAAGAATAGGAGAGGGACACTTAAGCTCAAGATTCCCTTCTCCCACAATGATACTCCCATTGATCTTTGCTTCTTCTGGGGCAGACAGAAAAGTATACAAGCAAGAGGAAATGACAGCTACCCTTAACTCTTCTTCTCTCTTGCTCACCTTCTATGAGCACTATATCAGGGAATGTTGTGTAGACAGAGACATAGGATGCCTGCTTGCTCATCTGTAATGTCCCTCTGGACAGTATAGAATAAAGGATGATTGTCAAAGAAATAGCCACTTCTATTTATCTGTACCTCTCTTTAGCAAGAACTCTGATCAGTGTACAAAATCCTTTGTGTTATGCGACTCAAAGAGAGAAGGTGAGTGAAAGTGAGTAGCAGCAACAACTCCTTGGGAAAGCAATTCCTGCTTCCCCATACTTATTTCCTCTCCAAATGCTTCCTTGCTCCTTTTCAACTGTGTGGCGTGGAGGACAGGGAGAAAGCAAGGAGAAGACTGCTTGAACCCGCAGCACTGACAGAGGGAAAGAGTGAGCAGAAGCCTCTGCCTGCTCCCTTGCTCCTTATCTCTATCAGGGCTGTGCAACACAGAGGACATAAGAAAAGCAGCCATCTATCTCATGCCCTCAACTCACTCATCTGTATTCTCCTAAGTGTTGCAGCATTGGGGATTTGGCTCATCTAAAGTTATTAATGAGGAAAAACACACAAGCTAGAAGATACAGCAGCAGTTTACTTTTGCCTGAGCTTCATGGGAAGGGCAAAATTCCTTCCTCCTTTCCTTCCTGCTGAACTGAGTACAAACTAGTGGTGTCCCTGCCCCTGGTGTCACCTGGTGGGGGTGTGGGGCAAGGCTTCCTGGCAGGGCAAGGCTTCCACAAGGAGGTATGGGGGGGCAGGCTCAGCCAGACTGAGCACACATGCGTACACCCCTACACCTCCTTGCCATGGCTCTGTTCTCCTCAGAGGAGAAGGGGGTCACAGCAAGGAGGTGTGTGGGGTGTGTGTGATTGGCTTGGCTCCTTGTCACAGCCCCCTTCTCCTCTGAGGAAGGCAGGGGCATGACCAGGTGTCACTCCCCCTCTGGGATGTCTCCTGCTGTGGTCCACTCCCCAGTAAGGCCACTGGTACAAACTACAGTACTTTTACAGTTTGAACTTAGTTTGCAGCAATTGAAGTAACGTGAAGATAAAGTGGGAAAGAGGTAGGAGGAGAGAAAAACTGGGACATTTTAAAAGCAATTGAAATGAATGGGATGACAGGATTAATTGGGACTTTCTCTGCCAAACTGGGAAAATTAGAGGTATGAGAGAGTGCATGTGAGCAGGCACAAATGGTGATTACTCTTCCAAAATGCAGGCATCTTTTGCTCACTAACTCAGTTACTTTCATGCTTACTCCACCCAAAAGCTAATAAGTGGCTCTTCCTTAAAAGAAGAAGGAGTCACTATCTAAACATATCACTATCTATTAGTGGGTTGTATGGAAGACTGGGCCTAATCCTCACTACCATACCATTCAAACACAGCTTCGGGGGAGTGAGTGAAGAGAGAAGCAGCTAATGTTTGACTAACGCTGTTGTTGTTGTTGTTGTTGTTGTTGTTGTATGCCTTCAAATAATTTCTACTTATGGCAACCTTAAGGCGAATGTATCATGGGATTTTCTGGGGCTGAGAGTGCATGACTTACCCAAGGTCACCCAGTGGGTTTCCATGGCCAAGGAGGGAATTGAACCCTGACCTCCAGAGTCCTAGTCCTGTGCTCAAACCGCCGCACCATGCTGGCTCTAATCTACTATCTAAGATTTATTATATTTATATTTAATTTGTTATTCATATATTTGTTAAGAGTATTTGTCTCCTTTCAGGCCACCAGCACTTCTGAGGTGAGGCACACTTGAGAACTAACTCAAACTAACTTCTTTTGGCTGCATCCGCACTGCAGAAATAATCCAGGTTGACTTTAACTACCATAGTTCAAATGCTATGGGATTCTGAGATGTGTAGTTTGTTGTGGCTCCAGAGCTCTCTGACATGGAAGGCTAAATGTCTCACAAAACTACAGTTCTATAGAATTCCATAGCATAGAGCCATGGCAGTTAAAGTGGTGTCAAACTGGATTATTTCTGCAGTGTGGATGCAGCCTTTGTTACTATCTTTCTCTTCCCAACCTAACCCTTCAGTAGTTAATTTTTCTACTTATTCCCCTCTTTTTTGCCCTCTCAACTTTCCCAGCATTCTAACAGCTGTGATAGACTGTAGTGAGGAGAGGCTGAACTCCACTTTCCATGTCTTTCACATTATCTAATGGTAAAGCTGCACAAAATTATAGTAAAGCTGTATAAATTTCCAGTTATACATATAATATACATTAGCACAAATCTATGTCATCTTATTTTGCTCATGTTAATTGGCTACTGTATTCCCCATATGTGTGTGTGTGTGTGTTCTGTTTTGAAAGGTGAATCCCACAAAAGGCACTAGAATTAATAGAACTGCACATTCTAATACTATGAAGCGGGGTGCTCTGAATTTAAGTGCATGAGTAGCAATGGCAATGTTTAAGTACAACTGTGGCTTGGAGACACTTTCAAACACTTAGCTTAATCTAAATATCACTGAAATTAATGGAAAGACATCAGATACATTTTGTTAAGCTTTGGTTGTTGCTGAACATTATTTATCTTTACACATCGGAATAATCATATTGAAGTCAATCTTCTGGTATGTGTGATGGTCTCCCATGATGAGATATTCAGTTAAATTTAAATGTATAGCAAGAAAAGGTAAGAGAGAAACAGAGATGCAACACTGTAGCATCCTATATTTTATTAGTATATACTCGACTCTTTAAGATATGTTTGGCTTTTAAAGTTTAGGGGAAACAACTGATATGGTGATAGTCCATGAAGGAAAGCTGAGACATGACAAGAAACGAGAAAGTTAAGTCTTTGTGGGCATTGCAAAAACGTGGTGGAATGTAAAGAAGAGTCTAAATGGTGCTAGCCATTTTCTTTGATTGTAGAGTATTTCTTCTGTATTTCCCCCAAAGCTTAACTTTGAAAGGCTTCCTATTCAGCTTAATTATGCATTTGTAAGGTACATTACAGGAAGAAAAAGATGAATCATTTGGGACAAATTCAGTCAGAGGAAGATTGTGCTTGAAATCATTGTCCTAATTGTAGGAGCAAGTGAGGAAGGAAAATTGAGAGGTCTTATTCCCTTGGATATCAGAATTAGAAATAACAATAGAAAAATATTGAGTTTGCCCCAGCAAAGCAAATAGTTTAGTTTCAACCTGGGGAGCAATCATGATTAAGCCTGGCAGAATATATTCTCTTCCACCAGCTTTGTTGGGGCATCGAATTGCAGACTTTGATTCACTTTTTCCCAACAGACCAGCAAAACACCTGAGCCATCCTCAGCTGTTTGCTCACAGTCGTAAACATGGGAAAACCAATGTTTGATTCAAGTTCTGGACATGGAAACAGTAGAAATTGATCTCTCTATTCACTGTAGCACATATTATAGCAGTTATAGTTACTGGAATATGTACATCTGCATCCATGTTAAGTTCATAATTCCAGCTTCTTCAGTGGAATTTGGGAGAAGGTAACACCAGGAACTGGCCCTGGCTATAATTTGTATTATACTGTTAAGATTCTTTATATTTTATGTGAAAGTACTTGGATATAATGATGGCTAATGTTATCAAGGGAAGAAGTACTTCCCAAAAGAACACTGTGCCAATGTTTTTGACTTTGAAACAGTTTGGGCAATGAAGATCAATAGATATGAGAAAATGACCTGCTTTGAAAAAGGTGAAAAGATTAAAAGATTTTTAAGAGTGGAAACATAATTGCAAGGTGTAATTGCAGCTTAAACCCTCTGCTCCCCTCCCTCTTTCTCAATTGCTTGCTGTATTTTCACTTTCCTTAACATTGGCATATCCTGGTTATTTCAGTTGGCTTCAGTTGTGACAGCCAAGTTAACAGAGATTGGCAGGAACTGTCTTGAGGGAGAAATGAACTTTCTGAAGTTGACAGAAAGGATCCTGCAGTTCCTCTAGACCAAAGCATTAGATTCATTCTGTACAGCTTCAAAAAGAGAGTTCAGATACTTTCTCCCAAGTATTCTGTTATTTGACTTTGGTGGTACTGAGAAGCTGCTTCTCTTGATCCCTCCTGTCTTCTGCTGTTGTTAGAGGTATGTGGCTGTACTTACAGATGCCACGTCTGAGTGCTACATTTCCATATACTGCTTTCTTAGACCTAGAATATCTGTGCTGCTCTCATTAGCTGGCTTCCTCTCTCCCATTCAATTTGCCAGGCCAGTGATTCTCCTCCTCAAAGAAGCGGTGGCTGGAGGCTTCCATCGTGGTTGACGCCACTTTAACTGCCATGGCTCAATGTTATGTAATTCTGGGATTCGTAGTTTTGTGGGCTATTTAGCCTTCTCTGTCAGTGAGCTTTGGTATCACAGCAAACTACAAATCCCAGAACTCACTGCTCCACTGACGCTGAAGCCACCAGCATCTACACCCACACTGTCTTTCAGTGTTCAGCCATGATGAAGTGTTATATTTAGCAGCATCTTTCACAAGCTGTGCCTACTGGGGGAAATCTAGCAGCTACAATCTTCAGCTAGTTCCCCTTGATAGACATAGCCTTATCACAACAAACCTATCCACAAGGGTGGTGAGTGAGATGCAGTATTTCCCCCCAGAACCCACACCTGCTGTTCATGCATATTTAATTCTTTGTGCTTTTCGTCCCCATGAAGAACAAATCTTTTCATATTGGATGCCCTAGAAGCCTGCTTCATGTGCCAGACACTGCTTCATCGGTGTTCTCTTCCCTTCTCTTTGGACAACCCATGCCCTCCTCTTTTCACGTGGAATGGCTGTTTTGACTCCCCAGAGGCTGCCCTAAGAAAAGGTCATTGTCCCTTTCATTTTGGCTGCTCCTTGCTGTGAGCCAGTGTGGCTTCTGCTCTGGCAATGGAAAAGAATAAAGAGGGAGGAGGGAAGGATGGAGACTTCCAAACAACGGCTTGTAAGGGGGAAAGTCAGAAGAGAATAACAAGAGAAACAGACACACTGGGAGGATGTTAAGAATAAAAAAGCAAAAGGGGAAGAGAGGCCGACAGTTAAAAAATATATGAAGGATACAGAAGCAGTGGGAGAGGAAGACAGCAAAGAATCAGTTTTCCAAGCCCTTTCAGAAGCCATTATTCAAGAAACCCCTGTTGGGTTCCAAGGTAAATTGTTCACCTTCTTAATCTTGGACAGTTACACACTTCTAACTGTATCAGTGAGAAAAATGTGCCATTGCCTCAATGTGAGGGTAACATGCGAATCCACTCAGCGACATCTAAGAGAGTCATAAAATGCCAAATTGGGTATAAATACCACTAAATATTCAAGATGGGAACTGTTGTCACGTGGCACTAATTACAGAGGCATAAATAAGTGGTCAGTGTTTCCTTCTATCTAAACAAATCAGTGCATATGCATTAGGCTATGTGGATCTTGGAGGTGGTATCACAACAGGCAGCATATTCCTTTGAAAATCCTCTTCTTTTTTCACTTTCCCCCTGTTGTCTCTCTGTTTTTTAACTGTTTGAGATGTTGGGGGTCCTACAGAAGAAAGGATTACATAGAAGTGTCTAGAGGCCCTCTGGAAAAAAGATAACCCCCAGCCTGGCTACATTGTCTCTACAAGAAGTTAGGGAAGCCTGCTTCTTTAGTGACTGAAGATGGTATAACAGTCTACAGAGAAATACAAATTAAAATTAAGTAGTCCTTTTAAAAAAAACACTATATAACCCACAGCTAGAGACCTTAAGATGTCCTTGGTATCTTTGTCTTTTGTTTCATGGCCTTGTGGCTATGGAAGAGCCAAACACAGAGAGTGACTGAACCCCTTTTATTATTATTGCAAATAGATTTTATAGGCTTTACACACTGAAACCACCCTTTTCTTTGGAGAAAGTAATGCATTCTTTATGTCATTCACTGCAAGGCATATACTTTTGTAAGAAAGGCAACGAATAGAACCACACTGAGAAACAAATTATAGCATTTTCAGAGGTACAGCAGACACATTTAATGAAGCATCCTTGACATCTGCCTGAAACCTTAGGCTACCTGTGATGTTTCGATGGTTCCACTGGCTCTTTATAATGAGTGCCAGCTGATCAAGAGTCAGGCCCTTGCATATTTCATATAAATGGCACCACTATGTGTTCAGTACTACACTGTGATAGTATTAACTGAAATGGCCTCCTGAATTACCGGTGGAGTGATATCTGGTGGTTAGGTCTTCCTTACTGGTCTCCTGTGGATGTTTCTGAGGCAGATTAATCATGTCTTTATGCCTTTGTGATACAACCATTGGGTCAACTGTTCCACAGGTGACCACTCCTGACACGTGGCTCAGTTTGCTGTGGCATAATAGAGACCTTTTCTTGCTTTTGAAGGCATTACCTGGATTTCTGGAGTTAACTAGTTGACCATGTTATTGGGAGGGCCATGCTTTTGAGAAGCTTGGTAACAGGATACAAAGAGCCAGTCTGAATGCCTTATGCAAATTCTCTCAAGTGAAAGGATCAAAGTGATAACAAAGCAGTGGAACTGTTTGCTAAGTCATTGGGGCTCTGGGCATGTTAGCAGAGCCTCCCCCATGACATAGTTCTGGAGAGGAAATCTCAGAGGCAGGCAGATTGCTTGAGACCATATTAAATAGTATTATTAATTGGAAATGTCATTGAAAATTAATATTAGAA